TAGCCATAGGCTGCGGGCCATTTGACGCTACAAACGCTTCGAAGCGTTTGAGTGACCAATCAAAACAAAGAATTTTATGAATTAACTAATCAAAAAATACTTCGAAGCTTTTGTAGCGTCAAGTAGACCGCAGCCATATATATATATATATATTCAGGCTGTTCAGGGAGCCGATTGTAGGTGTGTTCAGGGAGACGCTATTAGCGCTATTGTGTCATTCTATCCTTGTTTTACGTTTAATAAACAACGAAGATAGAATGACAGAAGTAGCGCTATTAGCGTCTCCCCGAACGCACCATGTGTATCTGTGAAATGAGGTAAAAATTCCAAAAGTGAGCAAATTCACTTATTGATCAATTAAATTATGAATATTCTAGTAAATTTGCTCACTTTTGTAATTTTCTCATTTCGAGATACACAATCGAAGGTTTGTCGCGTCGCATGCTCTAACGTGTTCTAATATGCTCTTAAGTCTTAAACACAATAGACACGGGCAATAGGCACAGGTAACAGGGAATAACGAGCAGTCCAATCACAGCTCTGGGATATAATATCGAACTTATACTCCAGAGCTCTGATTGGACGGCTCGTTATTCCCTGTTGCCTGTGCCTATTGCCTGTGTCTATTGTGTTTCCAGCTTTACTCACTCCAATGCGCTTGATCGAGAGTGAGTAGGAGCTATGGTAGGAGCACGTTGGAGCATGTTGGAGCTTGAAACGCGAACAAACCTCGACTACCAGGGCTGTGTTCCAAAATTGACTGTCGGTACTGAAAATCTATAGTGCACGTAACGTAAACTGTAGCATTTTCAGTGTTGGCAGTAAATTTGGAACACAGCCCAGGTATTGAAGAGAGAGAAAGAGAGAGAGAGAGAGAAGGTGCTAGTGCAAAAAGAGTGCAACACCAATAGGCTCAATGGCTACGGTTACACCGTGCATTTAGGCCGCGGCCTATACAATAGATGTCTTTGTTTAATATACAGGATAAACAAAGACATCTATTGTATGGGACGCGGCCTAAATGCACGGTGTAACCGTAGCCAATGGCTGTGTTCAGCAGAACGTTCGTTTTGCAAC